AGTGACTTTACCGAATGTCAATATCATGATAATAAGAATCAACTTTGTGTTTGCTTGATGAAATCACACCAAGCAATGATAATGGACGTTATCATTGCATAACACATGCAATAACAAGGATAAATATGTTACACAAGTGTGTGGGAGAAGTGAAGCATAATATAACTTATCCCACATATACAAAGAGAAAAAAATGTGTATTGTCAGGAATATGTAGTTAGAAACATATTATTGGATAGATATTTTTGGTAATATGAAGGTATGTGGAAAACAACTAAAAGAAAGGAAAGGCAATGAAGAAGACAAGTTCAGAAGAAAGGTTACTCCTCATGAGGCTGAAGGGAATGGGATCAGAAGGGAAACCACAGGGGATGTGAAAAGTGAGAGTACTGTGTAGAAAAGCACTTCCATAAATGCTTGCTGAAGGAATAAATGATAGGTAAACCTGGAACTCTAGCACTGACACAGCTCTAAAACCACAGAAGGGAATTTCATTTTTCCCTATTTTTTTTTGACACATAGTTTCAATTAGTGGTCAAGGCTGGAGTACAGTGATGTCATCAAATGTCACTGTAGCCTCAAAATACTGAGCTCAAGTGATGCTCCCACATTGGGCTCCAAAAGTGCTGAGATTACAGGCATGAGACACCACACCCACCCAAAAACTTCTAAGTGAAATCTGCATGTCCTATGCCAGTACCTCAAACTTGACTAGATTTTAGTCAAAAAACTAAACCCGTAATTTCCGACCTAAATTTGCATGAATTTCTATGTCCCTGTCCTAGTCATCACGCCACCAGGCAGTCACTCAAAGGATATGAACAGACACTTTTCAAAAGAAGACATGTATGCAGCCAACAAACATATGAAAAAAAGCTCATCATCACTGGTCATTAGAGAAATGCAAATCAAAACCACATTGAGATACCATCTCACACCAGTTAGAATGGCGATCATTTAAAAATCTGGAGACGGCCGGGCGCGGTGGCTCACACCTGTAATCCCAGCACTTTGGGAGGCCGAGGCGGGTGGATCATGAGGTCAAGAGATCGAGACCATCCTGGTCAACACGGTGAAACCCTGTCTCTACTAAAAATACAAAAAATTAGCTGGGCATGGTGGTGCGTGCCTGTAATCCCAGCTACGCAGGAGGCTGAGGCAGGAGAATTGCCTGAACCCAGGAGGCGGAGGTTGCGGTGAGCCGAGATCGCGCCATTGCACTCCAGCCTGGGTAACAAGAGCGAAACTCCGTCTGACAAAAAAAAAAAAAAAAAATCTGGAGACAACAGATGTTGGAGAGGGGAACGTGGAGAAATAGGAACACTTTTACACTGTTGATGGGAGTGTAAATTAGTCCAACCATTGTGGAAGACAGTTTGGCAATTCCCCAAGGATCTAGAAATAGAAATACCATTTGACCCAGCAATCCCATTACTGGGTATGTACTGAAAGGATTATAAATCGTTCTATTATAAAGACACATGCACACGTATGTTCATTGCGTCACTGTTTACAATAGCAAAAACTTGGAACCAACCCAAATGCCCATCAATGACAAACTGGATAAAGAAAATGTGGCACATATACACCATGGAATACTATGTAGCCATAAAAAGAACGTCCCTTTGCAGGGACATGGATGAAGCTAAAAACCATCATTCTCAGCAAACTGACACAAGAACAGAAAGCCAAACACTGCATGTTCTCACTCATAAGTGGGTGTTGAACAATGAGAACACATGGACACAGGGAGGGGAATATCACACACTGGGGCTTTCTGGGGGGTGGGGGGACTGGGGAGGGTTAGCAAGGGATTGGGGGCTGGGGAGGATTAACATTAGGAGAAATACCTAATGTAGGTGATGGGGGAATGGATGCAGCAAACGACCATGGCATGTTTATACCTATGTAACAATCCTGCACGATCTGCGCATGTACCCCAAAACTTAAAATATAATTTTAAAAAAATAGCCACAAAACAGCAAACAACAACAACAACAAAAAAAACAGGAACGTTAGTGGTCCTTAACTCCTGCCTCCTTATGGTGGAAATGTGCTCTTCAGATCTCGTACTGCAGGGGGCAAAGCTGATTGACAAACTCCAGCTGCCACTTCTCTGGATCCACCACTAAGTTTGCCCCAAGACCACGTTTCCTCTGGGCAGCTCCCAGATAGTGATGGAGCATGGCAGGGGTACGTGGCTGCAAGACAAGGACTCCTGAACTGACAGCTGCAGCTGGGGACTTCACATCAGTGCAGCCGAATCTTGGTTACAACTAAACTGCGTGTGAGATTCCTAGCCAACCCTACTTCTCCCACGTCTCTTTTATGGGTGTGACAGTTGTGTCACCCACGAGAATTTCCCCACCTGCTTCTGTTCCTTCCCCTTTATAATTCACAAGCATTTGCCCTATAATGATCTTTCCCATCCAATCACATCCTGGCCTCTATACTTTTGGGGAACCTGAATAAACAAAGGAGGTCCCAGGAGTGGTCTGAGGAAAGACAGTAAGTAGTAAGAGGGGCTTTATGGATGGGTCAACTCACCTTCAGAATGACAAAGAGGATGTCATCCTGACGGATAACATGGCATATGGATGATCTCGATCACAAGGTGAGCTATGGACGGCTTAAGGTTTCACCCTCAGTTACTCATGGTAAACATCCAGTGGAGGGTCTCGTCTTCGTCAACAAGAAGATTTGGGCCTTTGAACAGGATGGAGGAAAGAATGTCTACATAAATGGCAGACGTAGCTGCTGATGGCTAAAAATATTGGCGCCCTTCAGAGACATAATGAGAAACTATGGGATGTCACCAAACAGTTCAGGGCTGGATCTAAGACCCAGAAGGCCTCTTTGGTTGCTTCCAAGAAGAGCCTCACCTCTTGCAGGAGATGAGCAGACACAACTAAGGAGCACCACATCAACATAATTTGATAGCAAATGATACAGAGCTCCAGAGACGATGGCATCCTCAAGCAACACAGGCCTGTTATGTGAAGGATGGGTCCCTGTTTGCAGAAACCCAGGCACCTGAACTATGGGATGGAGATGGCTGGATGGAGTGTAAAGGGTGAGCCTTCCTGCCCTAGCAAGTGCTACCCTGGGCCCCATGCTGGTAGGGGCTACACAGCCCAGGCCCCCACAAAGCCATGGGTGCCTCCCTCAGGGGCTGCCCCATATGCTGTCTGTCACCTCGCTGGGTAATGCTGAGCCGGATAAAGGAGAATAGAGATTATATGCCAAGCAAGAGATAGCCTGTACAGGCAGGAGCCAGGGAAATACCCCTGGGAATGGATTTTGAGAGTGCTGGATTAAGGGGCTGGAATATAAGACTAGATAAATAAGTCTACTCGACTGCGGGCACTTTCTGGTGTCTTGGGATTTAACATCCTTGCAAACGTGTTTTTCAGTTTTAGGAGGCTCAGCTCTAAGCAGGAACTCCATGGAGCCCGCCTGCCTGGTTTCCAACCTGCAGCTGACACCCACCAGCCAAATGAATGACCTTGAGCAAGTCAGGAACCTCTCTGTGTCTGCTTCTCTATCTGAAAGAAGGTGGCAATAGCAGACACTTCCACCTAAAACTGTCCAGAGGATGAGTTAACATGTAGCGACAAGGCACAGAAGAGAGCCAGGCACGTAGTGAATGGTGCATAAGCGTTTCACGGATCCTCCCAAACAACCCTCCCAAGAGGCCACCCTCCCCGTTCCATCCCCATCCACCTCTGCAAGTGAGCAAAAGCACTGCTTTGCTCAGGACCTCTCCTACTCCTGGAATGGTTAAGCTCTCTAAGAGTCGCAAACCTGCCGTGTGTAAATTGGTTTGTGAATAAACGACAGTGGGGTGGGGGAGGCTGGGAGAGGTGGAAAACCTCTGGCCTGCCAAACCACCACACTCACATGCCAGTCAACTCTCCTGGGCACACAACCACGTGCTGATTTGATCACCTATTGTAAGAAAAAGAAATAAAAGGCATCCAAATTGGAAAGTAAGAAGCTCAATTATCTCTGCCTGCAGATGACATGATCTCACATGGAGAAAACCCTAACGTACACGCCGCCAAAAAATGGTCAAAACTAATAGACAAAGTCAGCGAAGTTGCAGAATGGAAAAGTAACATGCGAAAATCACTCGCATTTCTATGCCCTAACAACAAACTATCTGAAAAAGACACGCGGGAAACCAATATATTTAGAATACCAGGAAAAGAACAAAACCCTTCTGAATACATTTATCCAGGGAGATGAAAGGTGTGCGTAATGAAACCGATCGAACACTGATGAAAGATGCAAAAGGCAAAGACACATCTCGTGTTCATGAACAGGAAGTTAGTTAAGATGTCCGTGTTACCCAAAGCCGTTACTGGTTCCACACAGTGAGTGAGTCCCTAGGAAAACGACAATGGTGTTTTTGGCAGCACTAGCAGAAACAACTCTAAAACCCCTGCTTCTTGACTGTGGGCCTCCCTGCCCATGTTCCTGTTGGGTGCTACCTCTTGGTGTAGAACGGATGCTTGCAGCTCCTCTGTGCTCCGGGTGCTTCATGTGCATCACATTTACTCTCCCAAACTGATGACCTGGGGGCAGCTCTCCCCTTGACCCCTGCCTTACAGATGGGACACATGGCTCTCCTTGGAAAGTAGGTGCCTGGCCAGAGGCGGCAGGATAGCAAGAAAGAGGTGGGTGGAGAGCTCCAGTGCCCACTCTGAATGGAGCGCAACCAGTCAAATGACAGGTGTCCGGGTAAACCAAGCCCCCGTGTCCCGATTGGGTAAAGCCCAGAGGCCTCGCCCAACAAGAGGTGCGCTGGTTGGCGAAGGGCACACCAGTGAGAAGGGGCGGTGCGGGCTTAGAGGATGCGCAGAAGCCATGAGATGTCAGGGACAACTGTCGCCTGTGGTGAGGGCTGTGGTGTCCCGCAGGCCTTCCTGTTCCTGTTGCGTGGCCCCCTCAGCTGGGCTTGCCTGGGCTTAACTCTCCCCTCCGACCGTTACCAGGAAGACCGTCTCCCCACAGCCCATGCTGACTGGACTGGGGCCATGAGTTCCTCTGACAAGGTGTCATTTTTGGAGGCCAGTTTCAGCCCAGAGGGTGGTGAACAGGCTGGCGCCCTCACTGCAAGCTCGGGAGCACCACTGGGCCACGGCCACGTCCACAGCCTTCATTTGGGGGTGCTGCGAAGCAGTAAGTGCAAGAGCGAGGGCGAGGGTGGGTTTGCAGACCCGGGGGGCTTCAGTGTGGAGTCAGACAGCGAACTGATAGAGCAGGGAAGGGTGGTGCTCTGGGGCCGGGAAGCTCCGCCTGGCACCCCGGTCGACGACCAAGGGGACAGTGTGGACCACTCGTCCTACCTGGCCGAGGAGCCAGCCGCCGTCGTGCCGCCCACCAGCGTCCAGGGACACCCGTCCCCAGAAGGCGCCGCTGCCAAAGGGTCCGCTGACAACTGGGCGGGACTGGAGGTCGGTCCCAGTGAGAGAGGCACGCTGGGCCCCAGTCCTGGAAAAAAGCATCATGCCTCCGCCGGCCCTCTCCACGTCACTGGTCCCGGGGCAGGCCTGGCCTGGCAACACCTGCAAAGGGGCTCGAAGAGCAGATGGAGAGTCCGCGTGGATCCCCAGCAGCCCTCCGCGAAAGGCCCCGCCGTGCTGTCTGTGGAAGACTGATTCCACAGATGAGAGCTGCGACTTGCGGACGATGAGAGTGGGCATTCGCAGCAACGGAGGGAGCCATGCCAAGTCCCCGAGCCCCAAGAAAACAGCAGGCACACGGAGGCACCGCCAGCAGAGTTTCCCGCCGGTGCCGGGCCCTTTCCTGACCTCTGCTCCGCGCGGACTCACTCCACTTGTGGAGAGGCCGGCTGTGGGAGAGCTGGAGAACTCTCCCTGGAAGAAAATGCAGAGCTGGGCCCTGGGAAAGGTGGAGGTCAGGCCCAGCTGCTCAGGAGCTGCCATGGCAGGGGCCCTGCCCCGGGGCCCTCAGAGGAGGAAGATGGCCCAGGAGAAGAAGTTTCAAGGAGGTGCCTCTCAACTGGCCCCGGGGAGAGCAATTCCTATCCGCCAAGACAGACTCAGCCACTCCCCAGGAGCCGGCCACCATCCAGCCATTCTCAGGTGTGTGGCCGCAGGGGATGTCCAAGAAACCCCAGAAGCCTAAGCACAGCAGCCCTGCCAGGAGGAAAGCCACAGGAAGTAGGACCAGGGAGTGCCAGGCTGCGGCTAGAGAGGATAATGACCCACATAGAGATGACATGCCGGGGGCCCAAGTGAGTAGACCCTTCTCGCGCTCCTCTCCCTCTTCAAAGTCCTCCTCCTGTCTCCCCCCATGCTTCCTCTCTTCCAGCACACACCTGTTTACCCATGCCCCCTCTGTCCCTTGCTCAAGGGTTGTCATCGGGAGCCCAGGGACACTAGAATGCCTGATTGGGGTCTTCCTTGTAAAGGCACACGTTAAAGGGAGCACTAGGTGCGTGATGGGCATGCCTCTGGACACTCTGTAGGGTCCTGCCTCCTCCCCCAGAGGGGAGCTGGGATGGAAGGCAGGGCTGGCAGCTGGTTTGGATCGGTTGACCCCTTAAAGTGTGGGCTGCAAAGCTGGGGCATCTAGGCTCATCCACTTCCTGATTCCTCCTTCCTTAGCTGTAGCCCGAGCCACCTGGCAGGGGGCCCGGCCTATCTCAGTATCCCCAGTGTTCTCCCTGGCTGGGCTGTGTCTCCCGCCTGGGGCCGACTGAGGGAGAAAGTGCTAATGAGATTAGGCTCCACAGTCGCTACCTTTCCACAACTTCTCCCCACGTGAAATCACTGCTTGCTCCACCGCAAGAAATTTGTTTTAGTTTCGCTCTCACAGGCTAGGGCAGTCTTGCCTGTCCATGTGTCATGGAGAATTCAGCAGCGGCCACCCCGGCATCAGAGCTCCCCAAATTCCAGGAATTTCAGAGCCCTCGGCCTACAGCCTGGGAGGCCTCGGGACCAGACACCATGCAACCTCCAGTGAGTCTTGTAGTTTTGATAGGGGTGGAGGGGAGAGGGGTCGGGGAGGGAGGGAAACCTCTGGCTGTGTCACTTCTGGGGGGCTCAGCCTTGTTCCCAGGCTTCCCTTCCCACCCAGGCAGCTGTCCCACGGGAAACGGGCTATCGATGGGGCTGGCTCTGAGTGGGGTTTGTGTGATGCGGGGCGCTTTGGAGCAGCGCCCCAAACTCCAACTCTGGAAGGAGACTTTTGGCAGTACTGAGCCCTTTTCTGTTAAGTCCTGCTCAGCCACACTGCCCCTCCTAGGGCCTGCCTGTGGCTGCAGTGCTGCTGGCGTCCAACCCGGAGCCGAAACACTAGGGGGCCACAGGTGCACATGGGCTCACACTGGGGAACAGGGAAGGCAGTCCCACAGGGAAGGTTGGAGCTGCTGGGCAGAGCAGGGCCAACGTGTTGCCAGCAGAGGGTGATGCTGCCTCAGGTTAGACACTGTTAGGCCCTTTCCACCTCACTGGGAGACTTGGAAGGACAGTTTTGTGGTCTCTGTCAGGTGACCAGAAGCCACGTGTCCATCCTCTGAGACCGGAAAGACAGCAGCCGCCCCCGGGAGCCCAGGGCTGTCCTCGGGTAATGCTTTGTGTGGATCCTAGAAATAGAGGTCCACACTAGATGGTCGGATCCGTGTCCAGGTTAAACCGGTTCCTGGGTCCCCCAGGCCTCTGTCTTCCACACCCCACAGAGAGAGGGTGCTGCCTTTTTATTGAGGGTTCTGTGCCAATCTACCTCACTACCGGGCTGCAGGCTATGGGTGCTATAAGGGCTGGGGGAGAGAGGGAGGACAGGGAGAGAGGGGACCAGAGCTGACCAACCATTTCTCTTCCTCCCGTGACCATTTCTCTTCCTCCCGTGTCTGGTGGTCTAGTGTGTCTGGCTGCAGAGGGAAGTTGAGGACCTTAGGGAGCAACTAGGTATGACAGAGCCCTGGCTGGGGCAGGGATGGGCAGCGCTGTCTTTCTGCAGGTGCCGAGGGTGGGGCTGGGGTGCAGGTGCAGGCCGCATCACCGGGACTGACTTTCCTCTGGGGAAGAGAACCAAGCAGGCCTGGCCCTGGAGCCTTCTGTGCCTTTCCAGCTGAGGTGTGCACAGACAGCAAGGGTCATCTGAACTCCATGTACACTTTGTCCATGAGTCCCAGAGATCTCCTTCTCTTAGGGCCATTAGAGATACCGCATGTGTTTTCCCTTTAACTGCTGCCTGGTAGGGCTTGTGCGGTTTTTGCTTGGTGGCTGGCGTATCTGTCTTGGAAACACATTCTGAACGGTTCTGGGATGCCCCAACACCTGAGAACCACTTTCCCGCTTAGAAGGCATTTCCACCTTAGCTTCAGGTGACCAGTGGGTGAGTCAGTCACAGGGCTGGTGGGGTTACAGGTTTCAGGTCTAGGCGGTTCCCCAAGAGGACAGGGGGTGGGTTTCTGTTTCACTGGGTCTGGAGGGTCAGGTTCTGCCTGTTTCAGCGACCATGCAGTACTTCACTGACAAGTTCCAGAACCTTTGACGTCAGTGTTGCACACACCATTGCCACAATCCCGGTAGCTTAGGAGGGCTGTGTGCTGGCCCTGGCTGGGGTCCTGTCCCTGAACCTGCTCTGTTTCACAGGATGGAGCCAGCGTCTTCCTACAAGATGTGCAGCTGCTACCCCTGGAGCCCCTGAGCTGCAGCCAAGCTGGTTCCCTCCGAATCCTCTTCAGCCAAGGCTTCCTCTCTTCCGCTACGTTTGCCCTTTTCCCACCGCAGTTCACAGCAGTTTCAAATAAAGTCATTCTCATATTCTGTGGTCTGTGGTCTGCCCTCTCTGCAATTGTTGGGAGTGTTGGGGGGTGTGGGGTGTTGCTCCGTTCCCTGGCGCTGGAAGAACAGTTCCCCTGGATCTCTGTGGTGGGTCTCTCCCTGCGGGGCACCTGGGCCAGCCTCTGAGCAGCAGCCCTGCACTGGGGCTCACCTTAGTGCCCTGGGTCTAGGTGCTGTGGGGGCCTTGTCCGGCCACAGGAGCATTTCCTCCCTTTCCTCGACATGCCCTGCTTATGGTCCCTCCCCTTCTCCTTGTACTTTAGGGTCTCACAGGTACCCTTCTTCGGTGCTATTCTCCCTCCACTTCAGTAGTAACTGATAGCCTCCTTCCAGAGCCGGGTCTCTCTTGCTTTTCCACCTGGGGTTCACTGTCCCGGTTCTGCCCTGTCGCCATCCTTACCGTCATCAGCATCCTTGCTCTCCCCAGTGGCCTGATGCAGGAGACCTTTCCTGCATGGTTATTTCTGTGCTGTTGAGGAACAGGACGGAGCTTATCCTCCCCTCTCAGGGGCCCAGTCCTCCTTCTGGAGCCATTCTGTCCCTCTGGTGCCACCGCACGCACACAGGTCATCTGGGCCAGGAACCCGCGCGGCATCCTCAGTTCCTCTCTCGGCCGTCACCTTTGAACCTCAGTTACCAAATCCCGTCAGGTATCTTCCTCAGCTTCAGTAGCCAGGTGGAGGCAGAAGCCACATCCCGGTGGGTGGCCAAGCAAAAGGGAAGGCACAGGGAGCTCGGAAGAAAAGGGCAGGGTAGTCTCTTGGTTGGAGGTGGGGACAATGGTCTGTTCTGGAGCCTGCGGGCCAACCTGATCCCTGGTGTCATATCAGCAGCCAACAGCGCCTTCTGCAGCCAGTTGGCTCCATACCCTTGATTTGAAAATGGTCAGCTGCTTTCCACGGCAAGCATGGATGCTAGGCGTGGCTGTTCTTGAATGGTCTCTGTCAAATATTGTTCCTCCACGCCTAAGGCCGCAGATTTTCTGGAGAGGATGCTTCCGTGTCCTTGCTCACTGTTCCAGACTGCCTTCAAGGTCACATGAGATTTCCTTGAGCTCCCTGTTTGCCCTTCACCCTTCTTGACAGTTGGGATCACTTCCTTTCTTCAGCTGGAATCGTGGGTTGGGCAGGCCCCAGACTCGGGCACAGATTTCGGTTCCAGTGAGGAGGTATGTATAGGTTCTGCCAGCACCCATAGCCAAGACACTGGGTGTTGAGCAGACGAAGGCAGGAGAAATGCAGATACCATTCAAGGTTATCATGTGTTAAGTGTGTGTGCACCCCTGCATGCACCTGCTGAGGAACATTAAGTTTACTCTGTCCCCATGGCTCCACTATGGAAGATACTTTTAGTTTGTGATTAGTGGTAGGCGAGTGATAGCGGCCTACCTTATGTATTTTTAAGTTATAAGTAAAAATAGAACACCTGTATATTAATGAGAATCACTTGACTAAGAGCAAATAAATACGTGGATTAAAGGCTGCTCAAAGCCTTCAGTTTGGAGAGCTGTCAGCCCCACAAGTTCTCAGGCTGTTGGTTCCCCAGGATAGATCCATTCTGTTGTGCTATCTGGGTGTCTGCCTCTCAAATACCTTCAGTGCCACCTGGGTGGGGATCCCCCATCTGAGCTGGATCTCGTTAAGTGGTGCCCAAGTGTGGGGACTCAAACCAGGGATAAAGAGTTGCCTGAGCAATGGAGAAAGGAGAGGCTAAGCTGAAGGTATCTCGAGTACTATTAGAAAAAAATCCCCGAGGTAAACTGGGGAGCTCGGAAGTAGCCCAGGAATGTTTGAGAAAAAAATCCCCAAGGTGAGTTGCGGGGAGCCTGGAAGTAGGCCGAGAATGTTAGGAAAATGTCCCAGGGTGAGCTGGGGGAGCTCTGAATTAGCCTGAGAACGTTTGAAAAAATCTCCCAGGGTGGCAGCTGGGGGAGCTCAGTAATATTGGGGTAACATGGGACAGAGATCAAGTAAACGCAGGGCTTATTTGGTGTGATCTGTTTGGGCTTTGGTGTATTCTGCCATGGAGGTGTTGAGGAGAACATTCAGGTGAGGGGAAGGAGTGTGATGAGCTGCGGACAGAGCTGGTTCTCGGTATGCACCCACTTGGGAATCAAATTAATCGGGGTGCTCTCCCTTGAGGGAGAAAGGGCTGATTCATGGAGTGGAAGCTGTGGTGAAGGACTGAATGGCAAAAGCAGGCCCGAGATCTACCTTTCACAAGAGGTGCTGTTCAATTCTAACACCTAGGAGGCATGGAATGGGATGAAGGGGATATACCCAAACACAGGGAGAGGTGTACAGACTCTCAGAAAGCTGGAATTGGCTCCCGATCCTCTGCGGGATGGATGGGATGTCTCGGCACAATAATAAACATGTAACATGTATACCTCAGGCCATGGTCAGGCAGAGCCTTCTGCTTCTAGGGGAAATAAGCGCAGAATCCGAGGCTCCTGGGATTAGAGGAAGCCATCTGGGCCCCAGTGGAGAGGAGGAGGTCGAGTCCCTCCCCTCATTTAGTGCCTCCCTCTTGCTTTTCCCTCAAGCCTCCCCTCCCACCAAGAGGAATGTGGGGCCTGGCCTAAAGAGTCTTAGACCCCCCTCCTCCTGCCTTGTCCTGCCACTCAGCTCGGATGGGTTCCAGAGGTCTGCCGAGCTGCGTGCCTGCCCTTGACGCAGCCGCAGTGGTGGAGCCCTGAGCAGAATCCCGCCTGCACCAGGTGCCAGGGCTCCCACAGGGACATCTTCAGATGGGAACTCTCACTCCGCCCACAGAAAAGAGCGTGTCCTCTTCAGACTCCAGCTAGGGCCGAAGGTGTGTGTCTCCTCAGATGCCCACCAGCCAGAGTCCCCAAGGGTGGCTGTCCAGGCCATGGCGCGGGCCCAGGGCACCCCACATGGGGATGTGAGATGGCAATCGTAGGATCACAGTGGCCACAGTGAGTAACAGCCATGGACTTTAGCCCACCTGGAACACACTCCTGGGTGAACTCGGACAGCTTCATGCACATCTGTCCTCAACCTCCATGCCGAGAACTCCTTTCTCCCACACCTGTGTTTGCCAGGTACAACAGCCATGTAGGCTGTGGCCGCCAGGGCATCCACGCAAACTCTATCCGCGGGATTCCAGGGTGTCCTGTTCACATGATCCAGCATGAACAGTGCCCCTGTGGTTATGCAGTGTTGAAGTCCGGTCACCAATATGCAGAGCAAGGAACAGAAGGTTGGCAGGGTTTTGGAACCCTCCCGTTTGCCCCACCCTGATCACTACTTCCTCCTTTGCACACCCCAGAGGTAATTACTCTGCTGACTTTTCCAATAATCACTCACTTTTTTTAAAGGATTAATAATTCCCAGTTAACCCTCACCAAGATATAAACGTTAGAGGCAGTTAAATGTAAAATTATGTATAGATATCTTTTAAATTATACTTTAAGTTCTGGGATACATGTGCAGAACATACAGGTATGTTACATAGGTATACATGTGCCTTGGTGGTTTGCTGCACCCATCAGCCTGTCATCTACATTAGGTATTTCTCCTAATGCTATTCCTCCCCTAGCCCCTGATCCCCCAACAGGCTCCGGTGTGTGATGTTCCCCTCCCTGTGTCCATGTGTCCTCATTGTTCAACTCCCACTTTTGAGTGAGAACATGCGGTGTTTGCTTTTCTGTTCTTGTGTTAGTTTGCTGAGAATGATGGTTTCCAGCTTCATCCATGTCCCTGCAAAAGACATGAATTCATTCTTTTTTATGGCTGCATAGTATTCCATGGTGTATATGTGCCACATTTTCTTCATCCAGTCTATCCTTGATGGGCATTTGGGTTGGTTCTGAGTCTTGCTATTGTAAACAGTGCTGCAATGAACATGTGTGTGCATGTGTCTTTATAGTATAATGATTTATAATCCTTTGGGTATATACCCAGTAATAGAATTGCTGGGCCAAATGGTATTTCTGGTTCTAGATCCTTGAAGAATCACCACACGGTCTTCCACAATGGTTGGACTAATTTACACTCCCACCAACAGTGTAAAAGTGTTCCTATTTCTCCACATCCTCTCCAGTATCTGTTGTTTCCTGACTTCTTAATGATCGCCATTCTAACTGGCATGAGATGTTATATCATTGTAGTTTTGATTTGCTTTTCTCTAATGACCAGTGATGATGAGCTTTTTTTTTTTTTTCCATATTTTTTGGCCACATAAATCTCTTCTTTTGAGAAGTGTCTGTCTGTATCCTTCATCCTACTTTTTGATGGGGTTGTTTGTTTTTTTTTCTTGTAAATTTCTTTAAGTTCTTTGTAAATTCTGGCCATTAGCCCTTTGTCAGGTAGATAGATTGCAAAACTTTTCTCCCATTCTGCAGGTTGCCTGTTCACTCTGATGATAGTTTATTTTGCTGTGCAGAGCTCTTTAGTTTGATTAGATTCCATTTATCAATTTTGGCTTTCATTGTCATTGCTTTTGTTGTTTTAGTCATGAAGTCTTTGCCCATGCCTATGTCCTGAATGGTACTGTCTAGGTTTTCTTCCAGGGTTTTTATGGTTTTTGGTCTTACATTTCAGTCTTAAATCCATCTTGAGTTAATTTTTGTAGAAGATGTAAGGAAGCAGTCCAGTTTAAGTTTTCCACATAGACTAGCCAGTTTTCCCAACACCATTTATTAAATAGGGAATCCTTTCCCCATTGCTTCTTTTTGTCAGGTTT